AATTTTCACCTGTTGTCCATGCATATTACCTACACTTTCAAGAATCTTGGAAGTGAACATACATTGTAGGTTTCTAACATTGGTGTCCTGATTACAGAACCACCTTTAATGAACCCTCGACTTCTCTGCATCTACATGTATATTACTTTCCGGTGTCCAGATTACAGACCAATCTTTACTGAACCCCTGGAATTGGGGTGACAAGACTGTTGAATGTCAAATTAACATGTAATTATTTGTGGATACATGTACATTCTCATTTTAGTAGTGCACATGTACATTATGTGATAGACTGACTAGCAATGAAGCTGACCATCCCAGAAATTTACCTTTCTGTCAACTTGCACAATATACATGTCATAAAATTAGCCATCTTTAATAATTAAAGAAACTTAGAAGTTTTCCATTGTACAAAACCCCCTAAATTGTTTTTTTAACGATTGATCTGAGACCATTTAAAACAATACTTATATTTTCTGACTGTTATCTGACCTAATATTTTTAGTAAACAAAATTTGCAAAAAAACTGAGGGACTGGCAAAGAGAGCACTTTATACAACTTCTTTTGGTAATCTACACATAACATGTAAATGTAGAAGTACCTGTAATATAATGGAGCTACTTAAAGAAAGTAGGTAACTGAGTACACAATACTGAACATTGCATTTCCTACTGTGTCATAGAAAGTGTATAATTATGAATATCATGCTTTATTGTTATTTTATCTTATGCTTAGACCTGTTTATTTTGTGTTTAAATGTTAATTTATTTTCTTTTATAAAAAAAAATAAAACCTATCCCAAAACCACTGCATGAGTGCATGTGGGTTTTTTTTCTTCCAAAACATGTATTTCGACATATCTTCTTCAGAAAGTAAAAAGAAACTTGTTTATAAAACAGAAAAAAATATATTCTTACTCTGGTTTCTCTTTGTCATACAGTTTTATTTTGTTTATAACTTTTCATTCATTATAATATTTAACAAGTACATGTATATATTATATCCACTGACTATTTAACAGAACAAGGCTTTTATGGTCGGTGAATTGAGTCAGGGCCTTTTCTAACTCATCATATACAATTTACCTTGATCTGACACTTTGAGAAAATGTATCAAAAGAATGATTTATATTATAAAGTCATATGTAGTTAATGTACCATGATAAACTATACACAGGTAATAAAATAAAGGGTTCAATTCCCATAATCACATATTTATATAGCCAAACAATAACAAGATGTCCTGATACCACTAATGATTTTTCGTGTTTTCTTAAAAATATAAGAAAATTCATTCAAATAAGAATGCACCTGTGCCACACCTAGTCCACTCACATTCTATACTTCAGTATGAACTACATTTAATAGGTGCTATAAAAGAGAATGTTTCAGTTTCTGAATTGGTTTCTCTCTTGTCTGATTGTAAATGGCTTTGCCACTCACTGTTCTGTTCTGTTTTGGTTTTTTTGTTGGGGCAGTTTAAGCGCTACACCATTAGTATTAGACAGAGAGCTCTTGACCACTGGGGGAAGCTCTCAAGACCCCAATGTCTTATACAAGGGTTGCAATCCAGTCCTCAGTTTAATGTCACACAAATGTGGATATGATTTTGTTTAATACATGTATATATAAAACAGACCACTACAAACATTACTATAGTGTATATTATATCATGATAGTAGTGTGTGTAATTGTACACTAAGTAAGGCAATGTCCAGTGTTATGAAATAAAAATTCTTGTTTACACAAACATTATGGATATGTACATGTTCACTGTACAAGACCTACACACATACCATGTACATGTATCTAGTCAAAGCTTTATATTGTGTACTTGTAGATCTCTACATAGTGATTTAAACAATGTAAACACTGATGAGTCACAGCTTTTATATTTTATGTAATAATGAACCACGTGTACTAGTATTTTTACCATACATGTACATTATAGCTACACCTATTATTTTTTAGATACACTAAAAATATTATTGAGGTAACTACAATTGTTTAATACATTCAGTTCTTTCTTTTAGATACTGCAGGTTTATTTTAATAATTACATGTCAGTAAAAATAATTTAGAGAAAAATGGATTAAATGTGAGTTCTATATACATGTAGTCAGTTTGCGAATCAAGTGTTCAATACACAGGTAGTCTGTTTGCGAATTGAGCTATCTGATTAAAACACAGATCCTATTTTGTTTTGTTTTTTATACATGTAGTTCAAAATTTCGTTTTACTTGTCTTTACTACACTAGGATCTGTGAGGGATTAGCCAATGAAACGGTCTCTTACGGCGAGCTTTTGGCGTGGGTAACCTACTAGAAACATCATCGCTCATTGTGTAATGAAATGTTTCACATCATAGTGTCAAAAGCTGCTCGTATGACCTCTGACGCAACCTTCCACCACAAACGGTCAGATCTTCATGTAGTGTAGGCCATCAATAGTATAAAAAAAATGAAACGAAAAATAGATCTGTATTTTAATCAGATTGCGAATTGAGTCTTCTCTTATGTAGTTAGGTTGTGAATTGAGTGTTCTTTACATGTTGTCAGGTTGTGAACTGAGTACTACGTATGCTATACATGTATATGTAGTCAGGTTGTGAATTGAGTTTTCTATACATATACATGTAGTTAGGTTTCAAATTGAGTGTTCTACATGTACATGTATATACATCTAGAAATGTAAATTCGGACAATCATAGCCCTTCTATCTGCAGGTATTCCCCTTAAACATTTTTGGAACATTAAGGGGTCAAATTCAATCTCGATCCCAGAGATAACTTTACCCTTCATTTATCTCTGGTAAAACTTGCTGGCAATCAGCGTAAAATCGGTTCCTTAGCTCCGCCCCCAGTGGCTACTGATTGGCAGGATTTGATAGAATGAAATGCTGCTGATTTCAAAATGGCCGGCGAGTTTTACCAGAGATAAACGAAGGGTAAACTTATCTTTGAGATCAAGATTGGGTCAAAATTAAACAATAAACTTCAAGACGTATACATGTATTCCGATCTACAGTACTTTTTTACCAACAATCTCATTAACAGTATTCTTCGAAAAATAACTGTTCAAGTAACTTTTTGATTTACTTGGCTAAATTGGTGGAATATTCAGGCAAATATAAGTGAAATTCAGGCACTCGAACCCGAAATAGTCCTATATGCTGGTGAAAAGTTAAGTAAAATAGCAAGAAAATCCACGAATCAAATTTGCCTGCATCTAAATTGCTAATGTCTGACTAGTCTACATATGACATCAAATCATGAGAAGCGTTTTGACATACATGTAGGCACTAGATCATGATCAGTATACCACTTTCGAAATAATCTAATAAAATCTAGAAGTACGTGGGAGAGGATGTGAGATCAGAAGAAAACCCAACAGGTTAGGCCTGTGACCCCATATACAATTGTGAACCCTCGATTGCATTGACGTACATGTACTACGTAGATGATATAATTTGTACAATGTGATAGACATTTCTTGAAAACTATTACCACTCTCTATTAAGGACTATTTCCTACAGCTGTGAGCTAACTTGTGTTTGTCGTTTGATTTTGTCAAATCTGTACTGCACTAGATATTGTATTTTGAATACATGTACATTATTACTCATTGCCAATTTTTGTCTTAATTATAGATCTGTGGTACATTACATGCAAACAGTGTGCATTACATGTCACTATGTGCTTAGCTGTAGACCATATAGGTTTCTTTTTAACATTGTTGAATCTCAGCCATAAAATAATCGGTTATTATAGAGATTATTACACATATTTTGTGGGTTATAGACTGTACATGTAACTGATCATTGTCTTTAAATGCAGGTAGTCCTGTGGGCTTATAATCTACATGTAACGTAAGGCTGTTTATATTTTTTACATACCAGTATCTTTTCGTCTATTTTCTTCATACTGAACCATAGGGCTAACAAAAACCCCATCACTGGATAAAAACCCATTTTGCATAGCCATGGTGCTTCAAGATCCTATGTTAATCCATTTCTGTTCACAATCACTTCATAAGCCACAACTTGAGACAAATATTCAATATACTTGTGATTATTGGTTGACCTATGTTATTTGGTAGGGTTAACTTCAACTATAACCTTATTGCCACACAAACTAACACCTTATTACACACAGTTAATTACAGGTGTGCTTATGATAAAATGTTATGGTAGTATACCACAACAATATCAAGACAGACAGGTAAATAGGCTGTGTAGTTACTGTTTCACAAAATCCTTATTTCTAAAATAAATTACACCATAGCTATTCCAAAATCTTGGTGACAATTTGTCTTGAAGAAGGTAACCAGTGAAATGTTTTTTAACCAGTTAGACCAGGTAAATAAGTTGTGGCGAAGTGTATGTCCCAGGAATGCATATGTAAATGTCCCATAAAGGGAGAGGCAAGCTCCAGGCCGACACACAAATTTCAATAGCTTGACGTATCAAAGGTGTATAAATAACCCGGTTTTTCGTGAGAGAGCCACTCAACTGTCAGTTACCGGGTTGGTAGGTTTGATAGGCCCAGTGAATGAATTACTTCCGACAATAGGTTCACAAAAGGAATATTATTTTCTAGCAGACGATTTTTACACGCGCGGTTTAAATGACAGCAATATATGGTATGCTTTCTTTTGTTATAATTTCTTAATTATTTCAGTCATAATTGACAATACAATAAGATGATTGATACCAAAGACAAGCCACGTGCACAAGTAACATCGGGACGGCGTAAGGATAGAACTAATAGAAGGGGGCGGGACGGATATTGGAAAAAAATTACATGTCACATTGATTATTATTTTCTATTCTCGCGTGATGTCTAGTCCAAGACATTCATATAAAAAGGCCTAGGCTACAAATAAATAAATTACCCCCCCCCCCCACACACACACACACTTAATAACAATTGAGAGGAATAAATATAATATGGGAACTGATGGAATGTGTCGTTTGAGACGAAACAAAGAAATAATCATTACCTGCTATCCGAAGAACTGCTCGATCGGCCGGGTCGAGTTGTAATATGCATAGCGGCAAATTTAATGTATCCTTGCTATCCCATAATTTTTCCATTATTTTGATGTATCAGTTGAACAAATATTCTTCATTGTGTAGTCCACATCAGATACTGTGTTGTTTCAACATCTGTCGGAATAAATAAATTGCCTGTTAAAATGATAGAGGTAATTTAAGAAATACGCATGACAGTTCGATAAAATGCTAAAAATAAAACTATAATCTACACATCATTTACTCACAAGCGGCAAATGAGCGCACAGTTAATATTCCACTTCTTAAATCCAAATTGTCGCTGAATATATATTCCACATAGCACTACATCCATGGAATTTATTTCAGACGGCTCCTGATTATTCCCAGAACATGGCCGATCCATTCCTCACAATGCACAAAAAACAGAGTTATCTCCCTGGAAAGTGAATGTCATTCACTCCCTCCAAGAAATATAATAAAACCCTATGCTCTATAAATGGAACATCATTTTTTACCCATCCCTTTTGTGAAATCAATTAAGCATTTAGTAAAACTATCATGAAAATATAATATATTCCATCTAATATGATGGCGACCGTGTTTGTTTGCTATTTTTACGGAGGGTGTAAATCGTTTGAGTAGAATAGCGGGATTCTGCCATCGTCAGATATCATTGATTGGATTTCTTCAATCAGCCAATGAGATTTGAGAACAATGATGTCACACCGTATTTTTCTTTCGCTTTCATACTTGTTGCGGCTCGATCAAAGGATACATGTTGATGGACCTGTTCTATATCAGTTTGTCATTATTGTCCCCTCTTCGGTTTTGTGTTGTTTTTTTTTTTCTAAACATTTTATTTAAATCGCATGTGAAACATAAAATAGAAATTTGGCCCATTTAAATATTAGTCATTCGGTAACAGTTTCGAAATATCCATGCGTCACTATATTAATATTATAGACCTAATAATAACTAGAATTCGACGGACATATCGATTTATAAAATATTTATGTATTTTCTTATTTATATTATACTTTAAAAACTACCATGACTGTTCATAATTTAAAGAATGAATATCAAATAAATGCGCGTACTTTAAATTAGACAAATGAACTTTTATATATTTCAAACAAGTTTGTAAACAAGTGTTTTGTACGTATATTGTGAGTTTTGTACATGCATTAGAATACATATGACTCAGAAAATTATGAACAAGCCCATTTCCTGATGCAATTTCCATTGAAAATCGATAAGTTGATTGTGTAAATACTTTCAGTATTTTCTAACTGAGCTTATAAGTTACAAAAATGATATTGGCATAATGACAACATTTTCTCAACGTCTATACCGAACTAAACCTACGGCCAAAAAACGACGATTGACGAGTAGGAAAGAAACTAGATGTAGATTCTCTCATTCATACAGGTTAAATCAGAACAGGGGGTTGTAATAGTGATAAGAATTAATATAGATGACTTACAAAAATAGCCACCATCTTTCAAGATATGAAGATGAACTCCTTGCATGAGCTCGTATATATTTTCTTTGTGGGAATGAGAAGAATCTGACCGCCAACATTTTTATTAACGAAACCCATTACCCACGAAATGATGAAGTAATAAGAAGGAATGTGTGTTTTCTTGGCACAGTAATCGATTTTATTTCAACTTAATATAACAATTTACAATGCGTGTTTCAAATAACTCGAAAATGTCATGGATAGACTTCACAAATATGATCAATTCTATGAATAAATAGTGAAAAGTAACAGTTCTATCAAATTATACAAGGTCTGATAATATCGTAGAAATTGAGAATTCAAAAAATTCTAGCATAGGTCTAATCATGGACCTTATAATGTATTATAAGGCCCATGGTCTAATTCACGGCCGGATTAAGCTTGCATGGAGATCCGGCCATGGCCGAAAATGTCACAGAGTCCTTGCATCTACAGTGAAAAGGGGGCATATTCCGGTCATTCTCCGTAACACTCACACAAATGCAATTTATAAGTCAGCATGGTAGATAGATAGATTTATTTGCCGCAAACATACGACAATGGGGTCTCCTGACTGCAGCCCAGCCAGCACCCCTACCACAAAATCACTCCCGTTTAAAAATGGCCTGGTCTAATTGTCGAGAAATGTTCTGTTTACATACAAACGATTTCAAAATAAAATAATATCACATGAACATTATTTCGTAAATTACTAATGGTATCCTCCAATTAATTATGCATATTTATATATATATTAATCTTAAAGTTCTGACCTGTTAAAGCCTTTATATTCACAGGTAAATCTGTAACATAGGGTGCGAAATAAATAAACGATCGTAGCTTCTCAATCCCACGCTTTAAAAAATAGAACCGCATTCATTTAGGTAAGCTTACGTGTAATGTGATATTTGGCGTTTGTTAAAGCCAATTTTGAAATAAAAGCTTGAAACTAATGTAATAAATAGAACCGTGCAGGTAGGATCTGAGTGGAGAAGAAATTCGATCTTTAATTTAAATTCACACATCTGGCGTTTGTAACTCGTATCTGGCGTTTATACCATTATATGTGCCGACATAACCCCTGTTTCATACTATATGACAATGTTTGTTTATATATCTGTAGATTCATCAGAAGTTTTAAAATTTCACGTAAAGGAATAATGATTGTATAACAGATGTTTCACTCCCTTTTTTTGTCATGAGTCAAGTGATAACGTCTGCAATAATGATGCACATGGTATTATTTACAGAAGCCAATTTTGAACATCTGGATATTTTGCTTTATAATAATAAATGTGCACAAGCAATTTACCTTCACAAAAATGCACTTAAAAATTTACTCTTTTCAAACATAAATTGACTTTTACCAGACCTACAAAAAAACCCTTCCAACACAAGGTTCATATTTTCCAAATTGGAACTATTTTATTACTCAGGGTAATTTCATTCATTTAATCTTTTCCTTGGGCCACCACATGTATGTTTTTTTAAAATGAATAAGAAAAGGTACACATTTATATTTACTACAAAATGTTACCTGAATGAATAGCAGAAAATAGATGAAAACCGAGATTATGAACATTCACTATACATGTAAAGGGAAACAACCCCGGTTTGAAGTCGCAAGATTGGTGTTTTGATTGTTCAGGACAATAATATAATATATGTATATTTTCATGACGCCTTTTAAGCAATTAACAAAGACATTAACCGCCCGAAAGCGTGCCAATGCATGAATGTCTCGTCAAGATTACCCTAATTATGAAACAAGAGTGTACCCATTTGCTGCTGTTCTACATAATATAATCGCATTTCGCTATTATAATAATATACCATCTTTAATTCTTCATTCATTTGCCAAGAATTAAACCACTTAATAAAAAAAAATGCGAATAAAAAAAATTGCCAAAACTTTAGAAGTCCTTCCGTAGCAAAAAAACACCGAAAGTTTATCCGAATAAGACCTTCACACTGGTAGTTCGCTTTAAAGATGTATTAGATCAGGATTTTAGAGGGCTCGGTTCAGTCGATTACTAAAAAAATTAATTTTCGATCATACGTGATTTGACTGTAAAGTTGTAACATGTTTTTCAAATCAGATTGTAAGCAAAATCAGCCGAGGCACTGCTGAGATACAAGTCGCATACGCATTAACATTTTGTATTTGAGCTTTTCAATGACAAATGAAATGAAATGAAATGGGGTTTAACGTCCTACTCTTCTGCTTTCAATGACAAATACTTCGATCAAAGCATAGGTCAGTAATTACATTACATGTAGGAGAGTCTATGGTTATTCAAAATTAATTACATTTATATTCTGGTGAAGTATGCATGCATGGATATGAGATTTCAGAATAACTTTACTAATTTAAATCTAAATTGTATAGATGTTTTTAGTTCTTTGATCTCTACTGCTTTTTTTATTACCTTATTCAAAATTATAAAAACAGACTTGACATCCAAAAAGTAGCATTTTGTAATTCAATTAATGATTATCGTTTTTACTTACAGTATACGTGTAGTTTTGTTTTCGCCTCATGAACTTATTCCTGCAGTTCAACGCTACCCATAAAGTAATGCAGGAACGAACTTTTTTTTATGAGATCTGCCGTTCTCTGTATATGTATATAATAGTAAGACTGGTAGAAGGTAAATGTTTAGTCTAGATTAGCAAGACGGTTTCTATCAAGATGTCATATTTTTATATAACAAGATCACATTTTTCGAATATTCTTTTCTATAAACCTAAATCTACCAAGCTAGTTACATGTCTCGGACTACATAAGTATATATAGTAAATTTTGAATGTCGAAACGTATATAGTTGGATGAAATTCATTGCCAAACGTAGCGATCTGGAATTTTCTTGGTATTGTGCGTGGTATTTTTCAAACCTGTTGGAATTGTTTAGCTATATAGTCACCAGAAAGGACTTTATCGAATTTATACGCATCTGTCACTTAAACCGTGGAATACTTGTAAAAGTTGTTCAGGCAAGAATTTGGTTCTAAACTTAGTGATATTGTTTTACTGGTCATAATAAGAAGGTACCGTATCGATCTTTAGAGTTACGAGTTTTTACTCCTGTCACGAGAGCTTTATAACCGATCTACAGGTAAACTTACAGCAATTGCCCAGCCAGTCGTAAAGAGGAAATTCAGAGTGAATGTTATAGTCAAGACCCCAAAAACGTGAAAACCACCATGATATAGCTGACGTATATTCGTTACCTGTTATAAAACTGACCTATCGTCCTCTGCAACAGAAGGGCGCACTTCATCACCCACGATATGTATAAATGTCACGGATGTACCGGGACAATGTTAACAATTATTATGTACGTTCAAAACCTGTAAAAGGTAACATCTACAAGACGTTGGCTATCCAAGGCTTGTTTGTTAAGAACGGAAAGATGCTAATAAGAACGTGATTTGATAAAACTAATAACGGATTTCTAACATAACATTGGTTGTTTTTGTTTGTTTTGGTTTTGTTTTTTGGAGCGGGGGGGGGGGGGTATACCAGTGCGTTAATCTACTTAAAACAAGGTATGTTAATGTTTAGTATAGTACTGTTGTACTGTTACGTTCATGTAAGTTTGTCGGTCTCTTGTGTTTTATTTTAAACGTTCAAATATTAGAGGGATTATAACCAGAAAGTCAGCTGGTAAAGCAGTAACATTTGCATCAAAAATATTGAGAGTTGTCTTATAATATTAGAATGATTGGTAAAGACTAAAGAAGCCTAGTCGAAATGTCGCTCAGTTTTCCATAGAATTGCACCCTGTTTAAGGTGCTTTTTCTCCAGTTCAATTACAATGCCATTGAAACAATCTATATTTTCCCCGATATATTAAAGCTGAGGGGAAAAAATAAATCTTTAGAAAGTCTATGCTAAGAAACCAC